GGATTGCTGTGCCCCTCCAGGGCGTCTTCCTCCAGGACGTTGCTGGCCCTGCTGAACCATTGGCATGAAAAAGTTGTGCATCGGTGCCCCACCAGGTCTCATTCCAGGAACCAGCTGCTGCTGGTAGCCAAACCCGGGCTGTCATGTACAATCACAGGTTACAAATCATCCAACAGTTTTGAGAAGAACAGGAAAACGAGCTATAAAATCAATATTCTTGGGAATCAGACAGATAAATTGACCATACATTTGCTATGCCTTAAATCATCATGATAAATGGTGTTTATAAATCAGCTGAAGCTAGTAATTCTATGAGGTAAAAGATGCAAAACGCAATAGTGAATTTACATGTACACATACAAAATGTTTCTCAGTAAAAAAAACTAAGATTAGCTAAGGGCTATGAAAAAGAAATACCTGTGGAGGTATCATAGTGGGAGGTGCCTGACCATAAAATATTTGTTGCCCCATCCCGGGACCGCCAGGGGGATACATCTGCATACGAGGACCGACAGATGGTGGCATTGCAACTGGTCTCATTTGGGAAAACTGAGCCTGTTTACATCATCATGGTGTAGATATCCATTATTACATGAAACTTTCATGACCATTAAGTTCACAGGAATATATAAAGTTCAAAAAGGCATCATCTAAATCTAAGATTATAGAATGCATAGCAGTAAAGAGCAAATGCATGGGCCTTTTTATTGTTACTCTATAGTCTATACACGGTTATACAAGTACAACAGCAAACAATGTATTGTGAAGCTAGACACATTTTACTACCTTGACTTAAGACAGTGTTATTTTAAGCATGTTTGCAAGATATGACCATAACAAGTACACGATAGATATAAGTATATGCCGATACTAAGAATAATGATTCAGATTACTCAGACATAGAATATCAACATGCATCTCTTTATTAGTGATGGAAATTGTGAACATAATTGTCATATTCACTTAATATTGATGAGTCCAATTGTTTAAAATCGTGAAATAAACAAGCAAAAATGTTCCAGAGAGCTCAGTATTTTAGTATATGAGGCAATTTCAAGAGAACAAACCTGCAGTCTGGCCCTTCTGTCCTCCTTTCTCTGAGCAACAGCAACATAGAGAGGTTTATTTTCAATCATTTTACCACTCATCTCTGACATCTGTACAAATTCCCACAGTTAGTAAAAGCTGAAGTTTTATCTTTGTTCATCATGCCTGATCTCAGTAAGATATTATGATTGGCTTACAGCTTTGGTTGCTTCTTCAGGAGTTGAGAATGCTACAAAACCCGAACCTCTGCTTATGCCATTAGGATCCCGCATCACCTGTTACATTTTAGGAGAGGGAGTTCATATATGAAATCAACAGAATTTAGTACATTTCAGATTAGCTGAGAAGGAAAAATATTGGACCTTGCAAGACGTAACAGTGCCATAAGGTGTAAAGAGCTCCTTGAGTTTCTCGTCAGAAACGCTGTCATCTAAATTCTTAACATACAAGTTAGAACTTTGAAACTTGTCAGCAGCTTCCTTCAAACTCTGCTCATACCGAACCTTTAGTTCGGTTTCCCTCTCAGACTTCTTCTGGGCTCTGCCAACATACCATTCCTTATCATCAAATGTTTTTCCATTGAGAGACTCCACAGCCTTAGCAGCATCATCAGCATTGTCAAAGTTGACAAACCCAAAGCCTTTTGACTTCCCATCTCCATCTCTCATCACCACAGCGCTTGTAATATTTCCAAACTCACCAAAAGCCTTCTTCAAATCATCATCGGTAGTTGATTCAGCAAGATTCTTCACATAGACGTTGGTGAATTTTGTTGTGTTAGCAGTAGAATCTCTTTCTTGCCTCCTGAGGAAAGGTCCGACATACACTTGCTTGTCATTTAGCAACATGCCATTCAATTGAGCCATAGCTCTCTGGGCAGATTCTTCAGTTTCGTACTGCACAAACCCATAGCCTTTTGATTGCCCTGAAGTATCCACAGCTACCTTGCACGAGATAATGTTCCCGAACGTAGAAAACGTATCGTGCAACGCTTTGTGGTCTATGGACTTGTCCAGATTCTGCCATATATAACCAGGTTTAGCACGGGAGGGAAATAAAGAGAAATGGCAAAATTGAATAATAAGAAAGCAGCTACATCATCACAGCAATTAGTCGAACAATGAAAGAGCCGACACAGAAGAATACCTTGATAAATATGTTTCCTGCACCACTTCGGCGAACGCTAGGATCACGATGAGAATACATAACCCTGACAGGTTTTCCATTAAGAGGTATGTAATTCAGTTCCTGGATCGCTCTTGCAGCTGCCACAGAACACACAACATCAGAGAAAAGTATAACCACCAATTATTAAGGGCACATTCTTTACAACAAACAACTTTTTTTAAATGAAACAAAAAACCATTTTTTTGAAAGAAGACAACAAATTCCCATCTGAATTATTTTTGGTGTTACACTTGAACCAAGTAATTTAGTGCAATATTCCGAAAATCCCAAACATTTTGTCACTTAGATAAATAAACCTAGAGAACTAACAAGGATCAAACGATTGAGCAAATCAACAAAGGAATTGTAGCTTCAAAAGTTATAATTGCAAAGAAATGGTATCAATTAGGTAAATAAATAAATAAAAAACCCTAAAATCAAGAAAGCCTAACCATCTTGGGCACTACTGAAGTTAACATATCCATAGCCGAGAGATCTTCGAGTAGTCAAATCCCTACAGACACGAACCGAGACAACTTGACCCATCTGGCTAAACGCATCGAAAAGTTGCGAGTCCGTAACGTTAGCATCCAGATCTCCAACATAGAGCGACGTAGTGCCAAACTGAGCACCCGTTGGTCCAGACCCAGCGGCCACAACAGAGCCGTTCGGAGTTTGACCTTGAGGCTGAACCTGAGCCATTTCTTTCTTTTTTTGGATTTTTGAAACTTTTTTCTTCTTTTTTTTTGGGTTTTTGTTTACTCTTCTCTCCCCTCTCGTTATTACACAGCAATCAGATAGAAGCCCTTAAGAAGAAAGCAATAGAGGAAAATGAAGCGGAGAAGTAGAGAGAGAGATTCTTTTTTTTTTTTGTGGGTTTTGTTGTTAATGGGAGGATAGAGGGAGGAGAGGGGAGAAGAAAAGGGTAAAAAGCAGTTGCCGGCGGCGAAGCCTGCGGCGGCGCGTGCGATATCGGAAGATAGTTTGGTGAGAGATTTGGGGGAATAATGAAAGACAACTGCGAAGGGGAAAGAGAGACTCAACAATTCTGATTTGTGCTTTTTATAATTTTTTAGAA